CTACAAAATATGTCAGGGGTCAGCCAACAAAGCTAAGTAATAAATGTCTAGGATCATCCCATAGTTGTAATAGTGTTGCTCTCTCAGCGCCATCGGAAACAGTTAGCTGAGACAGGTCTTCTGTGGTAGATCAACATGAAGTACAATATAAAACTATTGTTGCTGAAAACCTAGATTTTCAGATTTCTGTGACTACATCTGAAACATTGGGCAATTTTCATCTCCTGCCTAATACCAGAGTTTTAATAACAGTTTTTTTCACACTTCCTTGCATGTAACACCAACCCCATCCTATGGGATAAGAAACTGTTGAGGCAGCAAAATTCCATGAAGAAGCAACTAGTGCACCAGGATACCTACAGGGTCCACTTCTTGTCAGGGGGTTGGAATCAAGGGCACATAATTAATATAGGTATGAGGCAGGGCTGAAAGCAAGTAGTCTGTTAACAGCAGGAAGGACTGTTAACCTTTCTCAGTAACATTTCCTCAGATTGAGGGGATGGTAGAAATCTAGAAGTTTGTATGGAACTAAAGGGCTTGATCTCCAACCCTTTCCCTGACAAGCAGCTTTGGTCTCCCATGATTTTCTAGACTACAGTGGACCCTCGACTTACAGACGGCTGCACTTACAGACTTTTCAAGCTACAAACGTCTCTGGCCGCAGCATTTAGGGTTTGACTTGCAGCCGAAGAATTGACCTACAGACCGGGAAAAAAAACACCAAAATGGAACAAAAACGGAACAAAAATGGCCGGTTCAGGATTAATCGGTTTTCAATGCATTGTAGGTCAATGGAGACTCAACCTACAGACTTTTCGACCTGCAGCCACCGTTCTAATATGGATTAATTCCGTAAGTCGAGGGTCCACTGTACAAAACTCTTCCTATTGGCTCTGCAGTGAAATATTCCATTGGGGATGTTTCCACAGCAACTCAGTGGCCCAAGAATAATGGTCTGCAACAGAACTCCTGTTTTGAGTCCCACAGCAACTGAAATCTACAGCAAGTCAACCAGGACATTGTTTGAATATGGTATTTAATACATTTCCTATTGTAGAACAGATTAATTTTAGGTAATGTCTTTTATGTTACAATAAATTTACTTTGTATCTTAGCTCTTAAACAGATACAAGTTTTATACCTACTTTCAAATATATCTTTTTCCTATGAAATTGTGGCTTGACTTCATTCAAAAGCTTGGAAGGCTTTTGATTGTACAAATGTGGTATTTATTCTTGTACCTCATACTATGCATTGAAATTTGAGTGAGAAATCCCAATAGTGTCAACAACCTGGTTGAAAGTGTGGCTGAAAATAAAACAAATACCTTGGTTTTTTCTTTCCTGTGTACTTAACCTTCTGTCTTAGAGGTCAGAATGAATGGAGGTGCTGCTGGTAGGTGATAGAGAACATGAACAGCCTTTTAAAAGATTGCAACATCATTTCATTTGTCCCAGGCTGATTTTCCTGCATGAAGGTAATAGAGAGCAGTAAGTAATTACCAGAAGACCAAAGTTCTGGTGGTCAGTAGAGAAAAAGTGAAGCACAATTGGGTTATCAGTGGTCATCCCATAGAGCAGGTTTCCAGCTACAAATACTTGGGCATAATCTTTCATGCCTCGGGTTCTTGAGCCCCTCGCATAAAGCATGCAGCACTGAATAATCATAAAAGTGCAGCAGCATTAACAAGATTTTTTCACACTAAAGGGGGTTCACCATATCCCCTCAGCCATTCAGGTTTTCAAGGCTAAAGTTGTTGTTCAAATGCTCTATGGGTGCCAGTTGTTTGCTTTATTTGACCTTGGTCCTCTTGAGATAGTTCAAACCAAATTTTTGAGATCTATTTTGAGTGTACCCCCCTGTACACCTAATGTAGCCCTTCCTTTGGAGGCTGACCTAATCACCATAAGAGCACATACCAACGTCCTTATGTTTAATTACTCACTAAAGCTTATCTTCTCTTCTGAAGGCTTGGCACAGATGTCACTTTTTGATTCCTTTCAATCAGACTGGAAACTCCAACTCACAAAAGAAGTAAGGCAAATGGGTTTTTCCACCAACGTTCTCTTGGCGATGGGGCATGTTGGTGCTAAAGCAGCACTCAAAGAAAGAACCTGGGACATAGAACTTCAAGAGCATATGAGCCAATCAGGCAAATACAGTGTTGTTACTAATAATGCCTTTCTGCATATCTGCATATTTGACTAGCACAATGACAACAAAGACCAGAAGAGCCTTCACATTAGCGAGACTTAATGTTTTACCCTATAAGCTTATGGGGGGAAGATTTCAACATATATAAGATGTGGGAGATGTGTAAATGTGTGTTGTTGTCTTTTAAGTAGCAGAGATACAGACTGTAAAGTGATTCTAAGTTGACAAGGAATATAAACAGTGCTAAAAGCTAACTGTCAATGATATCTGCAGTGTTAAAACCGGTGCCAAACCACATGCAGCAAAAAGAAAGTTGTTGTAAAATTCTCAGTACTCCTACCATAACTTTCAGCACTTCTCATCCTGCTGCTTGACAGTTTCATTCTCAAAGCTAAAATTTACTGACAGCATATGGCTGAGCAGCAAGTAATATTGCCGATACAGAAAATCAGGAGAAGATTTTTTTTTAAATGAGGCAAGAGAAGAACAAGGGCTTACAGAAAGCCAAATGTATCTATGATAATTCAGAGAGTTTTCCCTAAGTGTGAAATCCAGTGAGCTTCAGCAGCCCTGCTGGTGATCTGTTATCTCCCTGCCATAATAAGTCTGCCCAGAAGGACTTCTGATTTGTGTATATGTACATGTATACTGTGCCTGTGACATATTGGCCCGGAAAGCTAAGTAAGAATCTTAACTGAAACACTGAAGAACAACTGGCAGACAGAGTTGAGCATACAGGTCCTGGTGGTCAGTATGCTTCCTAAGAGTCAGCAGAATATCTGGAACATGGAAGGTCCCTTTATCAGGCTTCTAAAAAGCGTAGCTTTATGACTTCCTAAGCTCTAATGTTCCAGAACAAGAGCCCCGTTTGGCCAATATACTTTGGTATACCTACAGATTATGACTGTAGAATCTATGCCCGAGAAGGTTTCTTTGTGATATACGCTTCATGAACACATACTACATCATGAAAACACACTAATTCATTGAGCGCCTGTCTGATATGTAGACAGAGCAGCACCATTTTTGCACAAGAGGGAGGTTTCAGTGAATCCTAAGGTTTATATAAGTGCAGAATAGACATGGGGACAAATTTAAAAATGGATTGCGATATTCGTCAGAAATCACTGATTTGTTAAATATTCATCCCTTCATAATCGTGGGTTCCAGAGACCCCAACAAATAGGAAGGGAAGGACGAATATTGGCCTATTTTTATTCGTTCCCCCATAGAAAGAGAGGGAAGGCTAGCTCTTCCTATGGCTTTCCCATCCTACCTACCGGCCTGCCAAACAGCTTGATTGGTAGGATGATAGGCAGCCACTCATCCCTACAGCCTATTGCCCCCTTCCTCTCCCTACCCTAAATGAAGCAGCAGCCACCATCTTTGCAAAGGGCAGCCACTTTCCCTTTCTACAGGCCGTGACTGCGGAGGCCAACTGGAGATGGTGATGGTAGTGGCGGCGCAGTAGCATGGGGGGCATGGGGCGGCAGCACGGTGGGGTCAGGGTTATTTTTAATAACCCCCCCATGAATCAACAAATAAATTCGTGCTTTGTCAGTTCATGGGGGCAGCTTCGTGCTTCCTGAGTCATCAACTTTTGACAACTCATGAAGCAGGACAACTCAACAAAATGGTGCAGAAGTTCAGGAAACTGAAACCAGTCCAGTGGGGGACTGACCATGTTCACTGGGTGTAGAATGCTGAGGCACTGTGTGGGAGGGGGGACTGGAAACTCAAGATGGAGTTGGGAGGGAACAAATGGAGTATCATGGAGGAAGTCATTCCTGGAACTCTGAACAGGAGCATTCCACACTGTAGCCTTATATTGCTTGGTTGCACTGGCATCACCTTAGAGCTATTTTGTAGAGATAGTGAAAGCCATCATGTTAGTATTTAGAAATGAATTTTGAATGTGGCCTCTCTTTTTTAATGGCTGGGGGAGCGGATTAATAATGATGATATAGGACAGATGAAAGAGATTGCATTATGTTACGTAGCATTTTGTCCAGATTGTCAACATATCTCATACCCATTAATTTCCTTACTTCCCTCAGCCTGCAATCTGCAAAAATCTTGCATATGAATAACTATTGTTTCCATGCCCAGAAGATTCAAAATGATGTATATGTCACAAACGTATCACATATCATCTTGCTGCATAAGCAGAGAACTGCTACTGTTGTAAATCTGAGTATTTGAGTCAACAGCATTTTCTGAGCTTACTATTAAAAATGGGAGATATATATATTTTAAAAAATTATTATAAATCCCACAATTCTCCATTCTGGCAGAAATGACAGACAGACATTATACAGATATCGAAATATAGCTCACCTGACCCAAAATGGAAGGCTTTCTAGACAAGCTAGGTCTAACTTCCTATTCAGAAAGAAAAGTCCCAGCTAGCATCCAAGCAGGAACAAGCAGCTTTGGGTGATCTAGCCCTTCTCCCAGGTAAGCCACATTTAGATGTCTGTAATGTCTCTATCTATTAGGTAGAACTTCCAGAATAGAGATTTATGGGATTTGTAGTCCAAAAAAATCCCATCCTTAATTACTACAGATAAAGTTTCTCAAACCATGGGACTCCTTAATATACTGTGGTTTTCCAAGCACAGCAGTTCTGAACAATCCATGACTTCCCAATTGACATGTAGCCCAGTGGCCATGGATCATGCCTTGGCGCCTCCTGCTGTTACCTTCATCAAGCAACTATCCATGGTTAATACGTTGCATTCATTCTGCTCAGTTGTAGTCATGAGCTAAGCAAGCTCACTCTGTTTGACAGCTGTTTAACAAGCTAATACAGATCTTTTCACTTAATTTTGTTTTTCCTTTCTCAGGTAACAAGTTTTGGGTCTTCAAGGACACTACTCTCCAACCAGGGTATCCACACGATCTGATAACATTGGGTAGTGGGATTCCACCCCATGGTATTGATTCAGCCATTTGGTGGGAAGATGTCGGAAAAACCTACTTCTTCAAAGGAGACAGGTTAGTGCATTAGTATATTTTGCCCAGATGAAATAACCTGACTGCAATGACTGGTTATGTTCCTTTGTCTTCATTTGGCTCCATGACAATGCAGCTCATGTGGAACATTCAACATTCTGTGTGATTTTTTATTGCTATTTCAGTGCTTTGTGTATGTCTCTCTGCTCACATTAAGGCCAACTAGTGTAAGTCTACTATGTTATATACAACAGATGTTCAAAGCTGTAGGTGCATTTGTGTAGCCTTTTTTTTCTTCTTTACTTAATAAACAGCAGTGATAAGTAAAATAGAGAGTGACGGTTGTGCTAACACTAATATTAACTTGCCCTTAGAGTTGCTGTGGGAAGCAGCTCTTTGTACTGTGTTTTTCTTATGTATTCGTTAAACCTCATAGCTCTTGGAAATTAAATTATCAGAGGGCTTACACCAGCCTAACAAACAGGCTGTGGTAAAAAGTGGTGCACGTTCTTTAGCGCTACCTGTTCAATTGCTTTACTCCTCTATTTCCCCCCCCCATACCTCTGACAAAATTCTTCTTCTGCTGAATTGTTCTGCTGAAATAACTGAGATATTTCACAGTAGGCATGTGCTAAGGGTAGTCTCACACTCAAGTGAAAGCTGTATGTGAACATTCTAGCCCTTGAATCAAGTTGTAGCTCAGACTACACTGTCACTTGCTTTGAAAGGTCCGAAGTGTGGAATGGCTCTTTTTATTTACTTCATTGTCACTGGATAACTGTACATTAGAAATCTGAATATTTACCTTTTCCTTGAGATTTTTAATTCCCTGATATGTAAATCAGTGCATCATAGGAACTCACAGTTCCATGTTTGTGTGTCTCTGCAATCCAGGGATTGAGCCTTGGGTGTGTAGACAGATTTGCCACTCTCAACTATAGCACAGAGAGATATCCTGGCCTCTCACAGTGCTCACCATAGGCAGTGGCAGTACCACAGATCTTGTGTAATTATCGGTCACACTCCCCATTGTGCCTGCTGCTAATGTTTCCTTATGATATAATGAAGAGCTCCAGAACCAATTTTTCAAATTGAGTATTTGTGTCTCTGTACTGTCCTTGGAAAAGGATGTAGACAACATCCTGACAACCGAAATGTATATTTAATGTCAAGCATATTGCAATTGTTGGGGAAGGATAGCCCTTCAGCCCAGTTCATGTTGACAGAAGTGAATCTCAGTAATAAAACAATAAAATATTATTGCTTTTGAAAGCGGAAAGTCACTCACACGTAGTATACCTGTAAAGTGGGTCTTGCCAAATAATCAAATTACTCTTTTATGAGCTCTGACATGGAAACTTCCAAAGTAAACAACTGAGCATGTGCAGGAATGCATAAAATAAAAATAACTGCTGAAAAGCAACTATAACAAAGACTGCTTTCTCTGATAGGCTGTTTAGACTATGTGATCAGGAAATGTTTTATCTATTATATTGCCTCTGTTTTACATGACTCACTGAATACAAACTTCCATATCCACTCTAATGCCCAATTATAGACACATGTTTATAATTTCTACATTCCACATTTTTTCTCTTCCACCTCACAATCAACTCCCACTGTGAACAAAAACCTGTCCTATAATTTTACTCCTTTGGATTAGAAGGTTTGTTATTTTAAGTTTATTCCTGGGTAACAATTTTCAACCTGCGGTTTCCAGGGATCATTTCAGTAGGAGACATTCCATCTATGCATTTGTGATTTGCGCCTTCTATAATCTTCATTTGACAAACATATTGTATTTAGCAAAACACACACACATTCTCCCATATATATAACCTCCAGTAAAAAAAATTCTGGTGTCATAAGGGTTGCTACTTAGAACCATAATAAGCATAATGAAGCTCAGCAGGACATAAATGCAATGCAGTATGTAAGGAGAAGATCGAAGTACATGAGCCTTGCAGAGATAATTGAGCTATTACAGGATATTGACCGCCAGAAAAAATAAGCCTATATTCCACAAAGCTTCTCAGTACATACTGTTTATATCACCTTTTTCTTTTTCTTAATGTAATGTTATAGTTGAATTCTCCCGCTGACTTTAATTGCATGTATAAGCCTATTACAGTTTTCTTTCTGGACTGAGGACAGCCCATTGTCACTTCTTTATTAGCATCAAGGCTGGAAGACATGAGAGAGACAGGCAAAAGGTTATGTCAAAGTCAAAAGAGGAAAATAGTCTCACTACAAAGACCATGAAAAGATACTGCAGTTATTTTCAATGACAAGTATACTTGAGAAATCACAATGAGAATGCAGACATTATTCAAGAGGAAGTATATAAATAGCATGTGCAAAATTATACTGAGTTAATCTGTGTTGATTTTTGTACTTGACAGAAGCCACTAAGGAGATATCTTGAATGAATCCCATGGAAGTAAATGGGATGTACAGTTTTGTTTAGTGTTACTTTCAGGAGACAGTCCCAGCTGTATGTTTCTGCTGATCTCCCATATAATTTGTGCCTGTTGCTTGTGCCTGTGATGTGAAGCTGTTCATATGCCCTTCATTTTTCTGAATCTTCCATATTTCTTGGTTCAGCATAAATAGAGACCATGGTGTTTGCCCATCATCTCCCATTGTCTTTCAAATTACAGTATGTTCGCCTTTCATATTCAATACATTATCTGTGATGTTGTCACCAATACATACGGCTCATCACCAATGTAGAGTTCTAACAGGGTGTGTAGATTTAGTTCAGAGCATCTTTATAACCTCCAACTAGTAACCTCCCCATCCTTCCACATTCTAGATTATAGTCCTTCTGTCTTGTTTCTGCATGAAGAAAAACAGGAACAGTAGCTCCAGTTTCACAAATATTTATAGTTCTCTTAACACCAAATTGGTGCTATCAGCTTCTTTAGATATAGTGAACTGTACACTTATTTTAAAGCTCACTAATGGATTTTTGAGACTGAACTGATTGACATGATGTCTCCCTACAGATGAATAGAATAGCTATTCCATTATCTAAAACAATACAATTGCACAGGAATCTGTCCTCCACTCCCTTTGTTCGACCTTATTATTTAAAGAATTTGTTGAATTGTCATAGTTAAATCTTTGTTAAATCTGATGCCTTCAGTCATAGTAGATATGAGATACAGAAATAAGTCATGTTCTGAGCCTAATTGCCTATGTGGCTTAAAATAAGTGGTAAAGCTTGTGTTATTACTTGTTGTCCTTTGCGTAATGTACTAAGAGCAGAATATCTGAGTCAAATTTAGGAACAGTATATGGATTAGCCTATCTATAATGCTGTTGCTACCTATGTGGTGGGAAATATGGATATCTAATTGCTAATCAAGCCCTTTTTTTCATCTACAGTAATTTATGTTATTGTAAAAATAATGAAAGAGGGTATTGGTTGTTGTGGGTTTTTCGGGCTCTTTGGCCATGTTCTGAAGGTTGTCCTTCCTAACGTTTCGCCAGTCTCTGTGGCCGGCATCTTCATAGGACAGCACTCTGTGCTCTGGTGTAGTTGACTTGGGAGTGGAGTATTTATGGCTGTGAGATGGGCTTTTGTCTTTTTCTGTCAATGGGTGATTAAGAGGAGAGATGTTGTGATAAAGAGGAGAGATTATCTGTCACTGTGATTGATGGGTGTCATTAACTGGTCTTTTGTGTGTAGTGATCCCCTGTCCTTGTGGCTGGGCAGAGTTCTTTGACCTTTTGCATGCTGTATTTTTGAGAGCCGGGAGCCAAGTTTTGTTGAGTTTCAAACTTTACTCTTTTTTGTTGAAGTTTTGCTGGTGCTTGTGGATTTCAATGGCGTCCCTGTGCAGTCTGATGTAATGATTGCAGGTGTTGTCCAGTATTTCAGTATTTTGAAATAGAATTTCATGTCCAGTTTGTTTTAGGGCATGTTCAGCTACCGCAGATTTTTCTAGTTGTTTTAGTCTGCAGTGTCTCTCATATTCTTTGATTCTGGTGTGGATGCTTCATTTTGTGTTTCCAATATATACCTGTCCACAACTGCAAGGTATCCGATATACTTCTGCAGTGGTGAGGGGGTCCCTTCTGTCCTTTGCTCACTGTAACAGGCTGTGCATCAAGTTCTTGTGGGAAGTTCCAAACTTATGTGCTGTTTTTAATGTCCCAAATTCACATGGCTGATAGTGTAGAGGCCAGGCAAGCTTCTTAGATGGAAAAAGCTGCAACATACATGTTGGTTTAAGGCTCTTCTTCAGCTAGCAATTTGGAATTTATGGCCCTGGAATACCTTTGGATCCCTTTCATTGTGGGGAAACTACTGTGGACTGTGGGATCAGGCAAACCTGTAATTTCAAAAAACCACTGCCACCAGTAAAATCATCCCACTATCAGCAGCTTTTTGGAAATTAAAGCCTCCCCCCCCATGGCTGATGATGTCAGCAACTTTATGCAGCATAACTTCAGGAAACAGAATTTCAGCCGCTGTGTCATCTGAACCTAGACAAAATGTGCTCGGTCTTAACTGTAACAAGATAATTTGAAACACAGTTTATGGTGTTGGCTTGTTTTTGTCAAACATACGTAGTTAAAATCGCATAGTTTAGGGTTGGGGTGACATACTAAGCTATACCTAAACAAATTTAGATAAATTGGAGAGAAATTTAGATAAATTGGAGAGAAAACTTCTAGTCTTCTTCGTGAGTCATACCTGAGGAGACACAGTCATGGTGGGAATCTAGGCATCTTCTTGGAATAGTGCATTAAATCATGGTTCATATTTGTATCAAGACACAACGACAGCATTTCCAGGAAGTTTTCATTTCCAGGAAGTTAAGGTAAAGGTAAAGGTTCCCCTTGACAATTTTTGTCCAGTCGTGTTTGACTCTACGGTGTGGTGCTCATCCCCGTTTCCAAGCCATAGAGCCAGTGTTTTGTCCGGAGACAATCTTCCGTGGTCACATGGCCAGTGCGACTTAGACACGGAACGCTGTTACCTTCCCACAGAGGTGGTCCCTATTTGTCTACTCACATTTTTACACGCTTTCGAACCGCTAGGTTGGCGGGAGCTGGGACAAGCGACGGGGTCTCACTCCGTTGTGTGGATTCGATCTTAGGACTGCTTGGTCTTCTGACCCTGCAGCACAGGCTTCTGCGGTTTAGCCCGCAGCGCCACCAGGAGGTTAAGTGATGTTTTAATATAATTACAATCAGTGTTGTGCGAATTTACTCAGAGATAAATTCCATTTTCTTCCATAGGTCTTGCTCACGAGTAGATGTGCGCACTAAACTCAGAGCTTATTGGCTCATGTGTGAGTGAAACCTTGATGGAAAGGTTACTATACATAGATATAATACATCTCCTTGCTTGACTATGTAGAACTCCAAGGTATTAGAATTGTTCTGATTATGCAAAAGGCACTTGCTGATTTGAGTCTCAAGATAGATGGAGCTTTTATCTCTTGGACACTAAGAACAGCCATCCAGCCAACAAGCAGATTAAATGTCTTTGTTACCTGGGAGTATATTGTCAGTTAAAAACAAAATCTAGTTCTCTTAATTTATTCATTTGACATAGTGCTTCTTTTCTGATTAAAAAAGAAGTTGTTTATAAATGCAGATTATGACCTTATATTTTTCTGTCCTAGGTACTGGAGATATAGCGAAGACAGAAGAACTATGGATACTGGTTACCCAAAACCCATCACAATCTGGAAAGGTATCCCAGAATCACCTCAGGGAGCCTTTGTCCACAAAGAAAATGGTATGTCGTGTATTGTGAATAATATGGTTGTCTCCAGAAAAACAAAGCCACTTGCTGTTGTACACGCTTGCATTTTCCTCCTTTATCTTTCTTCCTCTTTTTCCTGAATTTCTCATATATGCAGTGTATGCTTTGCTATCTGAATGTTCATTACCCTGTTACCTTTCACTGTTGGCTGTGCCAGATGATGATGGTAGGCGTTGGAAAGTCCAAAAACTTCTAAAGGATTATCATGGTGGGCACATCAGTGGTTGCCTTTGGAGGGATGGCAATTTGATAGTCTGGTCTTTACATTTTTTGTGCCTTTCAGAGCAAAATAAAGGTATAAAAATGTCAATTGCTATGTGCCTCTAGCTTTTCTTCCTTTCTCTCCCTCATGACATGTCTCTAGTGTGATCCTATTTTCATTTCCCTATTAAAAATATGAGACATTTTCCCCTTCCTGAGAGCTTCTATTCCTTCCTTTGGCTCCAATAACAAATTGCTGCACAATGCATGCTCTTCTCAGGGATATGTTTAATCACTTCCTTGTTTGAGGCCTGTTTCATCCATCAACATAAGTTCTTTCCTGAATTGTGCATTTTAGCTTGAAAAACAACATAATATTCACATATATATCCCCATAAAATGCTAGTTTTCTTCATGGCCAGATACAACCATAGTTCTTTTTATAAATCTGTATTTTGGGAATGATTTTTTAAAAAAACTAATTCTCTTTAATTGTGTGAAATGGTTTTGGGGTAGGGATGTCAGTCTTCAGTTAATTCATTCTTGCTGGTTAGAATGAAAAAATGGAACACTTTTGTCCCTGCTAAACAAGGCTACATGTATCTTTCTCCACTCCCTGCATTTTGGGACTTTGTGAAAAAGTCCCAAAATGATTTTTGTGCAAAAACCGTACTTTTTCTTTTTTAAAGTATTTTGCCCAAAATGCAAAGTTTATTTTTTGCAAAAGGAAAAAAAAACACCCTGGTTTTATTTTTTTATATTTTTTTTGGCTAGTGTTGATGAAAATGCAGGTGAAGGGAAAAAAAGCCTTGGTATTTTCAGTCTTTTGCAGGAATACAAAACAATCTCACATTGCTGAGAATGATGAATATTGCAAATATTTGTTACATCCTCATTCTTGGGTGAAAGTGAACTATACAGATTTGTAAAAAGAAGATGAGGTATGGGCTAGCAAAAACATTAAAACCAGCATCAGTTTTTGGCTTTGTGGTGATATTTCTTCAAAGCTATATATTAAGAAATCATATGGGCACTCCTTTGAGAAGGAAAAATGAGTACTTTACTGTACTGAACTCACCTGCTGAAGACTGCAGGAATAGTGCTGTAACATTTTCCTGAAAGCCAAGATCGCTGCATGGCTGATATGGTGATTGTATCAAGAGACAATGAAACAAACAAGGGGACAAATAAGAAACACAGCAACCCACTTTCAGAAAACCCTGATTAAATTTTGCCTGAAACCATTTCTCTTCCATTGTTTAGATGAAGACTTGACTTGAAATTGTACCAGATTGCTTTAGGAGAGAAATTTCAGAGGAGCTGCTTCCAATTGGACAACATCTTTTATTAATGTAGCACTAATCTTTTTAGCTGCTTCATTCCTTTTGCAGGGGGGTGGTGACATTTGGGTGGCTAGATCTAAACACCACAAAGGGGAACTGTGAATCTAAATTCCCAGATCTTTTTGTGCCTCTAAAAATTATTCATACTAGAGAACCAGTATGGGCAAATATCTTGCACAGGGCTAGATTTCCTAACTATTAAAATACAGTGGCACCTCGCTTAACAATTGCCTCGCTTAACGAAGAAATCACTTAACGATTAGGTTTTTGTGATCACAAAAGCGATTGCAAAATGATGGTTTAAATGGGAAAAATCCACTTCACGATGATCGGTTCCCTGCCTCTGGAACCGATTTTTGCATTATAACGATCCAAAAAGAGCTGATTGTCGGGTTTAAAAATAGTCACTGGGTGCACAAAATGGCTCCCCACTGTGATTTAGGACAGATTCCTCGCCGCCCCTATGGAGGATCTTCACTGGATGGTGAGTTTTCAGCCCATTGGATCCACATCCTAAATCTGTAACAGTAAGACTGATGTTTGCATTTTGAATAGGAAAGGAATACTAATTAAAAAAAATAATCCTCTGTTCCATTCAAATATGAAAGTTTATTTTGTGTGTGTTAAGTCACTGAAGCTAGTATCTGGGCTGTCCTTCCCAGCTAGTAACTCTGGCCTCTCAAATGAAGCCAGAATTTTTCCTAAAGATTGGGAATACTCCTAGAGGCAAAGGAAGAGATGATGAAGATGGAAGATGTTCCTGCTGCTTGTGTTCAGTTCAGAAACAGTGGGAAGTAGTTTACCCTGTTGCGAAAGTTTGTTTCATGCTGGATCAGTGCCACTGTTCAGCTGGAACGGTAAAACACTTGAGAGTTTTGGCAGGGAGGCAGCATTTCTGCAATTAGGCACAACTTGTAATTACCCTGGATTGCATTTGAATGATCAAATTCTGGCTCCCTTCAGGACAGAGAGAGAGAGAGAGAGGAAGCTGTGTACACCTGTTTGCCATCCACACAGCCTGTCACTCAGTGTTTCCTCTCAAAGGCATCGAAATAACACAGAATAGAGTCACTCAGTTCAAGAGAGAGATGGGAGCAATTTTGATAAGGCCCAACACTGCTGTAATTTGTCATAATTGACCAATGTTTCTGAGTTTGGCAGGAGGTCTTTGAGCAAACGAGACTCAGATTGAGCTTAATTTGTAATCCCGTTCATGAGTCAGTTGAAAATCTTAAATCTTTCTGTGTTTCTAAATATATTTGCCTTGTTTCTTCAATAAAATTTAGACACATAGAGGATAATTCAACCAAAATTATTATTCACTCTGGTGCCATGACAGAAATTTATCCCCTGAAGTGGTCAATTGGCAGAATTAGTCCCCAAATTTATTCACCTTCAAAAAGCTGCTCCCCTGTTACTATCACTGCATCAGCCACCACTGCCGCTACCACAATGCCATAACATAACGTAACGTAACATACCATGAGAATAGACAGAATCGGCAGAGAATTACAAAAGGTTGTTTGTGCACAACACACTTTGGTCTGCTGAAATTTTATTGGACTTAAAAATGCAAAGCAGACGTTTGATTATGACCGCAGGATTTCATTTACATAAGGATTGCTTTAATATGCTTGTGTTCCTTTGTCTGCACTTCGAATATGCACAAATTTCTGCCCTAGACCTAATTGCTGCTTCCAACTGTATTAGACTCATTGAATCTGTGGGATTGATTGATTGATTTAATATGCTGCTTTTCCCCCATTAGAGGAACTCAAGCTGACTCACAATTTAAACAATATCAAGACATAAATAAAAACATAATGGAATATTATGTAGTGAAGATAATATATTCAGAGCAATTGAACAGATAAGAATACTAAAAAACTGCCCTTAAAAACACACAGACCTCAGATCAGTAGAGTAAAAAGGTATACAGCATTCCAAATAATACTTACTTGTCCAAATCAATTAAAAGTCTACCTAAGAAAGTTCTTTGTCTGCCAGTGGAAGAAAAAGGACAATGTATGTTTGCATAAGTGTTCAGTTATCAAGATCTACTATAGTTGGGACCAACATTTGGATGGAAATTTCTAAGTGCCCTAAAAAGTTGGGGGTGGAATATATCCTGTAATGTGGGGAGTGCAACATCAAAGATGGACAACATAGCTTCTCGGAATTGTTGTCAGTACTGATACCAATTGCCACCCACCTCTGCAGAAAATCTTCTCGTCTAGAAGATGGGATGTATTTCCCCTTCACTCTGGCTGGACGGACTAGACTTTGTTGTTGTTATCAAGACACGTAAACCATGTGGTTTCTAGTATTGTATGTATTAGAAGTTATAATGCATTCCCTTCTGTGGAAAATTGTATTATGATGGGGCAGGAGCTTTGTAACAACTGATTCTGGTTAGAGAGGGACACAAACTGGAAAAACAGCGGTTCATAATGTGTTTTGTTCAGGCTAACCACGAACCCCTGGAAAAATGAACTGATTCACAGTTTGTTTCTCTGATTCACGCCTGGAGAAGTCCCTACCTGCTCCTGCTGCCACTGCAGGCACATACTCAGAGGCAGCGGCAGGCTCCTGGCAGGGAAGCCAAGTCTGCTGCCTCTGACAATGGCACCTATGTTGGGAGCAGCAGGAGCAGATAGGTGGAGGTGGTATGGGCAGTGGAAAGAGGTTGAGCAAGCATCCCCTTTCACCGAAGCAAAGAAAACTCTAAAGGGAAAAAAGTTTGGCATTTTGTTTTGCTTTGGCATCCCTGGACTGGAGCATGAAACAAACCAGGTTGGTTTGTTGGGTTTTTTTGGTTCACGGTTTATTTCATGCCCATCTCTAATCCTGATTTTATGGTATAGATTCAGGATGAGGGCAGCTGTTGACTGGCTCCTTGACAAGATTGGAAGGCACAGTGTTAGTTCAGACACCTGACTTTTAATTCTCCCAATTAGTTCTAAATTTTCATACTTTCCATATCATTTTATTTACATTAGAAGTAAATTAATTATAACTCATTAAAATAATTACCTTTTTGTTTCCCAGGCTTCACGTATTTCTATAAAGGCAAAGAATACTGGAAATTCAACAACCAGATGCTCAGGGTGGAACCTGGATATCCCAGATCCATCCTCAAGGATTTTATGGGTTGTGATGGGCCAGCAGACCGGGACAAAGACCGACACAGCCCTCAAGATGACGTAGACATTGTCATCAAATTGGACAACACAGCTAGTACTGTGAAAGCCATAGCCATTGTCATTCCTTGCATTCTGGCCCTGTGCCTCCTCGTCTTGGTTTACACTGTGTTCCAGTTCAAGAGGAAAGGAACACCCCGCCACATACTGTACTGCAAACGCTCTATGCAAGAGTGGGTGTGATGTAGGGTTTTGGGTTTTTTTCCCCCTTCTTCTTCTTCTTCTTCTTCCTCTCCCTCTCCCGGGAGTTTGTGGTAACTTGAGAATCAACAAAAGAGCTGTTATGCAGTTTCCTACCTAGAAGCAGGCACCTGTCTGCCTCAACCAGGGCTGATATTTAAAACCCCGGGAGGCTGCCTGCCCTGCACATGAGTGAGAGTTCACTCCAGTGGGAAGCTTCCATCATACACGATATCTGCCGTCCCTTCAGTCCTTCGTCTTTCTTTGCCATTCGGTTCTAGCCTTTCTTCTGCACGCTCAATACCCAATGCAAAACTATTAGGATTTTCATCAAGAAGAGGAAATGGAACAAGGAAACAACAACAGTCATGTGGGCAAGACACTCTAGTGTCTCTGTTGGGGCTGTTTCTGTCCCCTTTAAAGCCTGCTCCCCTTTGAAAGAGTTTTGCGCGAGGTTTTAAAAAAAAAGAAGAAGAAAAGAAAGATGTAATCAATTTTTTTAAAAGTGAAGAGATACAACTTTAACACAACAATCGCAATGGAACTTTCAGGAAGTGTGAAGACCCAAAACAGCTTTGTCTCCAAAGAGGATTGCTTTCTGTCAGCTATGGATATATAAGTCCTATACTCCTACACACAATTTTTGTCAAGTGGGAGAACAGGATGACACACAGGAATTCAGACTGTTTGGACAGCCATTTTCCAACAAACAAGGGGCCAAAATATCTGCAATATAGTAACAGCCTTAATGATAACATTCATTTTGTGTTTTATACAGCTGTTCTGACTATGTCCTCAATGTTTTAACACATTTATATTCATTACTATATTCAGATAGTATCTTTTTTATTGATTGGTTTAACTTTTTGTTGGTTTCTTGCCTCCTCCTTTTGTTTATTTTCACCCTGAGCTGTACCAGGCGAAAAGCCCCAGGCCTTCCACAGGTCTGTCAGGAACATTTATTTTGAAATGTTTTGCTGAAAGCAGCAAGTTCCTAAGTACAGTGCAGTCAACTAAAGTGGCAATGTTGAAGGTATACAAAATGCTAGTATAATTTACTTTATGGGTGACCCTTTGAGAACTACGGGATCAGTTTTTTCAGGTCTCAGACGGCTCATATGGGCTGGCCTAAAATGACAGGAATGCACAGGTTTTAGTTTCTGAAGTTTATCTTGTGATTTGAGAAAAGGGCTACTATTCCATTGGTGGCTGAAAAACCATATCAGATCTGCAGAGCCTCTTGCTCCCTCCATCTCAGCATCACTGCCTTCTTCTGTACCCCTCTCTGCCGCTTCTCTTGGCTGAGCATGCACTAGTTGTGGCTGCCTCACTTATGACACTACACCGTACCGTAACAAAATGGCAGCTGTAACCAGTGCTCCATCAGTCATGTAGTTTTGCAGGTATATGGAATAGTTGTGGTTAAAGTTGATAGGTCTGCCTGGGAAAGTGTGTTGGCCCACTACAAAACTGGAATAACAATGAGCAAAATGTTAAGCATTGATTGCATTATAGGCGACTGAAGATATATATTTGCTGGCTAGTTTCTAGTAATTCACTGTGTTCAGATTTTAAGTGGGTACAGTTTTATAGCTTAGCCTCCATATACTCAGTGGGTTTGTGCCAATTCATGCCAGCAGCCCTTCCCTGACTCAGCTGCTCTTTTTCTCCCATCACAATTGACCTCATGCACTATCAGTTCCCAGTCTCCCATCAACAAACACCGACTTCCCTTGTGCTGTTTGCAGTATGTGTGCTCAGTGATATTTTTGTTTGTTTTTAAAAATCAGTGAATGCAAACAAACATGGCAGCATTCACTTTGGGTGTCTCCCTGTTTATCAGCATGCACATGAATTTTTATTTGTACTGTGCTTATCTGAGCATTCACAGTATATTTGCCAGCCACACTGCCTGGCCCTGAAGACTTGGCAACAGCTAAGACTGGAGACAGACAGTTGTGTTTTTCAGCAAATCAAAGAGTAGTATGATCTGGAAGGCTCCGTTGCCTATGGAGTACATTGTCTCTGTTCACCGGTTTTGCAGTTGTTTGTTGCACTGCAGAAGCTGTTTACTAGAAATGACAGCAGAACAAAAGGAATGAGTGCGTATGCCCTGGGAGATGACGATTCTGTCGTACAACTTTCAACACTCACGAAAACATTTATTTGTTTTTTCTCCAGCCTGAAAGAAGCAAGAGCTTGGGGTTTGATGATGGGATTGATGGAGCTCCTTTGTCCAGGAATTGGCTTAATTTTTAAAATTTTGCTCTGCTAGACTGTTTAATTTTTTTTTGTCTTCTAATTAAGCTTTGAGTATGGTTATTGCATTTGCCTTTGGAACATGGGTACACAATGGTGTAATTAGCAGTTTCCGTGAGAACTTGAAAGCAACAACTCTGACTCTGCAGAGGTGCTGTTCTTGCAGTCCCCAAAGTATTGCCATTTGGGTACTTGCCTTAGTTCTCAAAGGGTCAATGAAACCTCTGGCATTTAGCTGTGCATTCAGTCACTGACAGAAGCAAGGGACCACCAAAGCATTGTGTCATCATATGTAACTTTTTGCTAACAGCAGTATTGTCATTTTCATGTGACCTGCAGAGCAGGTTATGTATCAATATTTTTTCCTAGAGAAAAGTCAGCAACTGACAGACCTCTTCTATTGATTTTAGGAGCTGCTTCTTGCAGTGACAGGCTTTTTACAGTCACTGGGCTGTGAATTTATTAAAGGTGTTCAAAAAGAAATACACCCCAGACGTCAGAAACCTGGCTTTTTATGAAAGCTAGGATTCCAGGGGAGTAGCTTTTGAAACAATGAACAGCTTGCCTTGAACTTTATTGATCTGTTGATTGTCATTACTAAGTTAAACATTGTCTTCTGTGGGGAAAATAACCCTTTGCTGTCTGAATTACCTTATGTGTACTGTTTTTGATGTCTTTGCTCTTTGACCTTTAACATGCAAACTGGCACAAGCTCAATGGGAAATACGGTGTTGCTGTTCCATGTGGATTCGGCCTAGGCTTTCACAACTACAACAAAAGGCCGATTTCATGTGGTGACCAAATAGTCGCCTATGTTTTGTTAGAGAAGACAGTGGGCTCAATGCACTGGGAAGTCCCCCTCCCAAGTTGGATGGAGGTAAATAGCAGGCGTGTGGCATCCTTCTTCCTCAGCTCGCATTTAATTAGTTAGGGGGAGCTGTAGGAGAATTTCCCAATGGAATGTGCCTAGTATTTGTAGCAGAATGGAAAAGTTGCTATGTATACATGCACGCTCTAAAAATGAACTGCAGTGGAAGCAAATTTCTATTTAATTTTGGTGCAATTTTCTGTATAAAACCTGCCCTTGCTACAAATGACTTGCTATAAATAATGATGTTCAAAAACACACAAATGTGCAAAAATACTTGAAAACAGCCTTCATTGGCTTTCTGTCAAAGTTTTTTTTATACTAGACTCAAGACAGTTTCTTACTGATTTCCTAATCCACATTACTGAATCATTTTTTAGAGAGTGTAAGTATATATACATATATTAATTTTTTTGGTAATGAATAGCTCGACTGCCTTGAATTTATATTTATATTGAGCATAGCATGAAGATTAGTATGCCTTTTTATTCAATTAAACATGATTTGGGGTTTTGTTTTATTTTGAACTGAGGGTTTATTTTATAACTGTGTGAGGCATGCTATACAGCATTGCAGGGGGCTGGGTTTCTTTCAAGCATAAACAGATATATGGATGGATAACAAAGATTAGAAGTCATGGATTGCTTAATAGCACATATGCAATGCAAACAATGTTTTGAAGCCTCTCAGAGGTACTGTATGGAGTATGCTAAAAGTTGCACCGGTATGAGATCAATACATTACCTTCGTATATACATTTCCATTAGTACACACATACAGCAGCTTACTACATCTGTGAACATAGAATCATTTGGGAATTCTTCATTTTTCTTCACCTTAAAACATGGCTATAGCTATCTTTTTTTTCAGACAAAAATCTAGGAAGTATATTCTGCTACAAGCAATGCTCCCCTCCCGTTGCCCTAATATTATTCTTTGATAAATGAAAGTTAGATAAATTTGATTAATCTGCTTTAGCTGTATTTTACTCTAGCCAATGAGTTGGATCTGGACTTATTCATACTTAGACCACTAAGATCAGTTGATCTATTCTTAAGTATGACTAAGATTACATCCAACCTGTAAGATTTATGTTACTCAGAGAGTCCAAAATAAGATAAACGCTGACTTACATGTAAATTATGACAATCCTAGACACATTTTGTAAATGTCCAAAAACTCAGGTAAACTATTAGCGAATGGGGAACATCATTTACTTTATTCATGACATACAGTAGTGCCTCGCATTACGATGTTAATTCGTTCCAGCGAAATCGCTGTCTTACAAAAACGTCATAATGCGAAATTAAAAAGCCCATAGAAATGCATTAAAACCCAATTAATGCATTCCTAGGGGCTTGAAACTCACCATCCAGCGAAGATCCTCCATAGCGTGGCCATTTTCACTGCCTGCGCAGCGAGGAATCCATCCCAGAAAAGAGTGGGGAGCTTTTTTTTTTTCACGCGGTGGCCATTTTGAAACTGCCAATCAGCTGGCCGAAAATCATTGCTTTGCGAGAATCAGTTCCCGAAGCAGGGAACCGATCATCGCAAAGCGAAATTCCCCCATAGGAAAAATTGTTTTGCGATGGTTTTTGTGATCACAAAACCTTCAACGTAAAGTGATTTCATCGTAAAACGGAGCACTCATAATGCGAGCCACCCCTGTATATCTGAAAAGTGGGAAAACAGGTAGCTATTTTTGGACATTTACAAAGGTGATAAATGAATCTCAACATTCACTGCATATTAGATCTTCACTTTGACTTCCATATTACTGTGAGGATGTGGCATTAATTTGTTTTTATTTCTTCATTCACTTGAAAAGTTTATACTTCCCTTTCAAAGTCTGTCTCATGGCAGCACAGATTTCCAGTACAAAAAACGTCTTGGAAGGTGGTGAAGGATCCGAGCATGTTGACATTTGCTCTTTTTGTAAGGAGACACAAGTGTTTATATTCAGAACAGTTAACATAAAGTAATTATAAAGAAGGTAAGTGTGATGATGCATAGTGCTTGATAAAAGAAACATCATGATTACATGGATACTTATTAGTTGATATACGTATTTAAAAGTGCATTATATATTATATACAGAAAGTGATTTGGAAAAAAAAGGTTGGGCATACTTTTGCCACATATGACAAGATGCGCCAGTGTTTCTATTGCAATTTTCTATTTTATGAAATAAGTCATGTGGTAGTTTCCCCTGGGATCCTGTATCCCATATGTTCAGCTTAAACATAAAAATGTGTGTGTGTTTATCTTCAAAAGCTCAAATATTATATCGTGATTTTTTAAAGTCATGTTGGGGTAAAATTTATAAGCAATTAGCCCTTGTTCCAAAGTCCACCCATTCATTAAAAAAAACCCACATAACAGTATCTGCTTGTACCAGAGAGCTTTAGGTGAGATCCTTAACAGGATTTCCAATATTCGTATTTGTAAAAAGAAATTTTAAAAAACATTGCATTTTGAATAAATGGGACCTTTCCATATGTAGTACTATATACCAGCCAGAATCATATATATAGATCATTTGTGCTGGTATAAGTGCAGAGTTGTAAATCACAGTATCAAATTGCCACTAGTTCATACTTGTACTCCTCATTGCACACCAAGCCATGCAACTATCAAATAAAAAGGAATACAAATGGTAACTTGTTGAATAGCAACAATTTGTAGCAGCAGTTTACACCTTTGCACTTATACCAGTGTAACTAGCCTGTAGAATTCTGGCTATCATTTTTAGATTTTTTTTTAAAAAAAGAACAGAGTTCTGTCCTCCTGAAAAGCTATCAAATTTACAGTAGAATCAGTGTTATAAAATAGCCTACGTCATCAGATGCATGAAGCAGACATTGGAAACAATGGGTTTATATATGCAATACTGTACATGGGAACAGTAGATAGAAATTTTTTAAATTAAACCTTTATTATTACTGTCACAATCCACACTGCTGGGTCAATGCAGTGCAGTGGCCAATCTATCAAGATAATTTAGATTTGTTGTGTAAATTGATAAATAGCACAATATTATTTGCCATAAGCTGTAATAGGGTGGAATTTATTAGGAAAAAAATAGAATTGTATGTAAATACCTCTGGAAGTATTTGACAGACTGGAGGAGAAAGAATATGATCTTGCTCCGAAGGAGCCTTTTTTCATGTGAAATATAATGTGCATTTTATTACTTCTTGGTTCCATTTTGGAGTCAGGAGTATGATATAAGAAGCATAAAATGCAATTAAAATAGAACAGCTATATATGAAGCACACTTACCCTTTAAAGTTAGTACTGAGACCCTTTGTGCAGTTGTGGAGATGACTAACCAGCTGCTCACATCAGTGTTGTGTCACTAAATTACTTGGTGTTCTCCAAGCCTATGTATTTTTTCTCTTGATCTATCCAGCCCAAATATTTTATCATATAAATAGTATTTTTATCTAGAAGATCCACTCAATTCAATGGAGCTTATTCCAGACTGAAAGTACAGAGGACTGCAATCTTAATAAAATTGTTGGTGGGTTTTGATTCATTTTCTCTGCAACAGCCTCATTGGCAATGGTTTCCTAACCCTGTGTCTAAGAACTGGAACGCACAACATGAGCATCTTTCCAACGTTGAATACCCCTGCCTATTTCCTGATGCCTGGGTGCTGATGGTATTAAAACATCATAGAATCATAGAATAATTGAGTTATAAGGCTATTTAGTCCAATTCCCTGCGCAATGCAGGAATTCAAGTCAAAGCAGATCTGACAGAGGGTTGTCCAGATTTCTCTTGAATGGCTCCAGTGTTGGAGCACTTTGGCTGGAATGGGTAATTTTTCTTTTATTGCAGTGGTTATGTTTTGAAGACCTGTGATGAGTTTATGCTAACTGAAAAACAAATTTAGTTTTTAAAAATGTTTTTAAAAATGAAAAAGTCTCCCTGTGCCCTCTCGCAGCCAGATTTTTGTGTTTTTTTTTGGAAAAATGAGAGTATCCCCATACCCTAGATACACAGGGGGACATTTTGAGCAAGAAAACGTTTTCTATTTTTAAAATTATTTGAAATATATGGGAGGTCTGGGATGCTGGGGACCTGCAAGAGTTGCTCAGTAGGGCCACATGAAGCCCACGTGGTGCACCCTTAATTCAGGCCCTTGAATGAGAGCTAATTAGGTATGCGAGTTGCACCTTGAAAAAAATTGCATTTATGGTCATCAGTTGATGTTCAAGTTGTAAATTCACTGGGTGAATATAGCCAGTGTTTATCCAACTCAACCAAACACAACAATATAATCATTGACTCTAATAACAAGACCAGATTAATACACAGTCAGGGTGGCATTTTGTGTTATCCCTTATAGGAAGAAAAATATTTCATGAATGGTCTGCTAGTGCTACTCCTTTATGTCTTACTGTATATCTCTTTGGAAATCAAGATGCTGGGGAAGGTGGGAATATAGGTGTATTCAGCAGGACAATTGGAAACATCCTCATGTCATCCCTTTGGCCTTATACTTTTTACTTGTAGACAGGGATGTGGCAAATTTGGAGGTGGATGTGCTCATCATAACATAGACAGCATACCCTATAAGGAGAAACCCAAAAGTTAGGTAGATGGATCCCTGCATATCAACAGTAGATCTTTTATAAAGTAAACAGATCTTAGTTGCCCATTCAAGACCAAACTAACCCCAAACATTTTGTGTTATAACAGAGATCAATTGTAACAATATGGCTTTTTTGTGGGGAAAAATCACTTCTCCCTCAGCTACTTCAGAACTGAATTTAAGCTTAGAAGGAGCAGGGAAACCTGGGGTTGTGGGAGAATGGCATGCATGATGACATTGATCTTGCTAATCAGAAAGTCCCCAGGAGATTTGGCTGCATTATGCCGCTGCTTGTCAAACTGTAAAATTGCATGACCACAACACAGTGGTCAGTAATGGGCCACATAATTTGTACAGAAACCAAGATGGAAAATTTGCCTGAAAAAAATCTTTAGAGCAAGGAGGCTCCTGCAGGCAAAACATTAACACATAGCATTTTAGTGCATCAATATGCATTTAAGTAATTGCTACCGTGCTCCAAAATGATCTTTGTGCAAAGCCAGCGTGAAGCCAAAGAATTTCCTGTGTTATTATTTCAAATCATGTTGAATGATTCTGTTTTGGACATAAGTTTGTCAGCCACATGAACATGCACATTCAGTGGAACCCCCCCCCCATTTTGAACAGCTGCTTGTCATAGCAGCCTATGGGGTGTATGCAAACAAAACAGGAAAACTTTATATCTGTTATTAGGTCCAAGGCAATCGTTCATAGAAGTAGTTTATTATAGTTTCCTATGCTTTGTTGTTTTTGACAGGGCTAGAATTCCATTCAGAACCACACTGACCATCGTGCTAAAAAATAAAATAAAAAAGCCACCAACTTGATATGTTTGGATTGGAAAGCATGCCTGAAAATATTTTTTTAATTAACAATTATTTCATTTTGTCCTTATGAGAAAGGTCAGCAAAAAGTAAGCATGGCTACATTTTTGTCATTGTTTAATACTATCACAATTTATCTCCAGTAAATTCTTCTTTTATTGGATATGGATATGCAGTTACTTGTATACCTGTTATTCTTTCCCTGATTGTTAGACAACCAACTGAAATTGCAACACAGACGTTGTACCCCCGGTGAGAATTGTGTAGGTTTTTTGAAGTCATGCTGCGGACCAGTTCATAAACCAGTTAAGTGGGAATCAATGCTTGAGAATCCAATCATCTCAACTAGCAGAAGTGAAGCAAAAGCCTGTATTTGTTCATAGATTTTTGGGAGGAGAAGTGTTGCTTTACTCCTGAAACTGACCCCCAAAGAGGAGTCAAACTCGCTGCACAAAAATTCCTCCATCGACATGCATTTAATCCAGTTTAGGGGACACCTTAAAGCTGCTAATTTGCTGTGCACTTTCTGTGGCCACTGGAAGTGTGTAACTAGATTTTAATCCTTCCCATTTACAGATTAGTTGAGTGCCTACCCTGCCTTTTAATATCAAGCCTCCAAATTAGATCTTCAAGCTTTCATGCCCCAATATTCACACCCAAATAAAGGAAAGAAAAATGGTATCACCAGAAACCATTAACTATGGTAACTTGGTGATAAGAGTATGGTAACTTGGTTGATTTCTCCCCCTTCCCACATGTGATGTTGAAGGCACTGACCGTGTGGTACCACTTTATAGGGTGCAGTGTCCTGGATGGAGCCTGTGTTCTAACAATTATAGCATTCATTGCAC